TACCCAAGATAAACAAAAAAGGAGAGCCACTAAAGTAAATAAAAAGCATGGAATGACACATAAACTGGATTAATTTATATGCATAAAGCCCAACAAAGTAAACGACAGACTTTCAGACACTGAGAAGAACCCATATGAATATTTCTGAAGGATCCAAACCATTGGACTTGCAGAAACGGATATGATGGTAACTTTTGGTGAATATTAAATGTACAAAAGCATCTCATTCGAGAAGGCATCTCAGTCTTGCTGGAGAACTTGGAACGAGAGAAGGATATCCTGGATGCAGATCTCACAAGAAATGAGTATTTAATACGACTGATCAACTTGACAATAAGAACCACATGCATTATATTCAAAGGCAACACCTATGGAAACACATTTTGACTACCTATGGTATCTCCGATCTCATCTCTTTTTGGCTAATTAGAAAAGGAATTTGACAGACCACTGCTGCAGCCAAGAGTGCCCGTGCCATGCCTGAATGACAAGTTTTCACTTTGGTCGCATAGTTGAAAAAGCTTGGGGATTTCCAGAACTTTATGAACCGGATTAATAACATTCACACCAGGGGGGAGGAGATGAGTGACTACTTGCCCTGCAAGTTGATGTCATTCGCTCCAACGAGACACTCAAGAGGTGACTATTCCGTAAAAAATCATATGCCATCTTTGCCATTCTCATCACAACTACAGATTGGAATAAGAAGGAACTTGATTATGAGAAGGCTAAGATTAAAGAAAATGGAGTACTCGGAGGGATAGTTAAGCAAATTAACTCAATGAGGCCTCTGGGCTTTTGGTAAACCATGAGGAATAGCGACTTGAGTAAAGTGTATACTATGGCTAGAACCGAGTGAAACCCGTCAGGCAAGGAAGATAAGAAACGGTTCTCCGCAGCCATAAGAAAGATTCGGATACAAAGTTATAGTCGAGAGGGAGGGGACAAGGTAGACAAGCGGGTGGTATATCGCCCCGAAATCGGCTTACCTCTACAAAAATTTTCTATAAACAAGTCAGAAGTTATGGTCGAGAGGGAATGAAATAGAGGCTAAGGAAAAGGTCCTGAAGTTGAATTTTCCCAGAATATTATGAACACACCGCAGGTTTTCATTTAATTTCACATATCTTTACTTCATAAAAGTTATTATCGTCAAGGGTAGGCTGTAATTTTGGCCTCGTCTGGGTCTCATCACCACGTCCAGCGGGAATCGAACTCGGTTTGTGGTTGTGATGCGTATAGTCTCGACAAGGTAGTCAATGCATCAGATTGCCAAGAGTGCTCTTGGATCACAGGTTAAATAATATTTCAAGGAAGCCTAGGTCTTTCCCAGGTTACCTTTCTGTGATAGTCTAATTGAAGAAGCGAAGTTTAACTTGCTATTAAAATCGACTGTATGACGTACCGTTGTTTTTAAGTAAGTTCTAGACCTTTGCAGTAGATCTTGAATAGTAAACTAACTTTTTTTAGTGTTTATAAAACGAAATAGGAGGAATACCGTTTTCTTTCAAGATCTACTGGAAGTCTCGAAGACCTTCTTTAAAACGTAAATAGATCATTTGGTAGATATTAATGGCGAATTCAACTTTGCTTCACCGACGCTTTCATCACAGAAAAGTGATATAGTAAAGTCATTTGTATCCTGTGACTCAACAGGGTAATGGTTAACGTGTTAAGACCATATGCTGCACTACCGCAAGCCGGGTTCGAGTTCCGCTGGGGTTTGTGATGAGTCGTAGGCGAGGTCGAAGCTGCAGTCCAGTCCAGCCTGGAGGAAAATACCTTTGTGGAAACATTGCTATGTACAATTTTATGGAAACACAAAGCCTACTCATATCCTTCATAATCTAAAATGAACTATGATGAAAACGGTACCTGAACAAAGATGGACTTCTTTTGGTGCTAAGGCTAGAGAGACTCATTGACGATGCCGGCTATACTGTCGGTTTAAGGGGGAGGTGGCAATTCCACGGTCTGACGCTGTCATAACTACTATAGAAGGGGACTTCGGGCTAGGTGTGCACACCTAATTTGCCTTGACAACAAGACCATTTTGAAAAAAAGAGGTCAAACCACTTTTATAATATTAAAGGCCTTACAGCTTGCTCTTCACAACTCAAATAGAATTGAGGTAAGTTGCAAGATAAATATTATTTTCCAATCCCAAAAATAACCATTACCAAGGTTATAATGTCATAAAGGAAGAATTGGACTATTTTATCCCTCCATGCATTGCTAGCCTAGTTGCATATAAGCCTAGTTGCATGCATTTATTTGCTACAATTTGAATGAAATTTTGCTTTGTCCTGGCTGACATTGACTCTAGCCATAATGCATTATTAAGACGGCCTTATTATTGTAGTAAATTTCAATTTGCCATGTATCACAAGAACCTGTTCTCATTCAAAGCACAAGTCGCATAGCTCTGCGAAATCTAGGCTCCTCTCTATTGTCAAGACGATCCATCATCCTGAATAGGATCAACGATTGTGGAATGTTGACGGCGAACCAGTCATGGCTGCTGGGTAGGCTTGAATAGAGGGAGAGAGAGTGGGCAGGAGAGGCGGTACTTAAGCATTGCATGCATAAAATACACAATATCGCATAATTAAATAAGCGTTAACATATCGCATGCTAATTTTTTATTCAAGGAAATAATTGACACAGTGACCACATCCTTTTTTTCATTTAACTTCATCCATCGACAAGCATGTTGGGTTAGGATCTAGAGGCCAACCAATGCATTTGATGCTTCATTATGATCACAAAATTAGATGTTAGAAATGATTTACTTTGTAACTTGATCGCCATTGCCATGATTATTAGATTGGCGCGTTTTTTTCATAAAGTATGGTTTCGCCCTCTGACGATGTCCCTCATAGGGCAGACGAGATGCTAGCATGGTTTAATCTGAGTCGGAGGACGACGAGAAGAGGACTTATTTGCATAATCAGAATATCTTCACTCTAAGGCAATCTTCCTCAGGTTCTCAATGCGGCAAATTCACGACTTTCTATCATCCAACTTTCCCTTCGAAATTAAAAATCCACCTACACTATACTTATACATTTGTCTTCCAACAGCCAGCTAGAGGGACTCTTCGTCATCCACCGTGTCTACTAGCTAATTTATAAGTAGGATGCATAGACGGGTAAACAGAGGCAGAAAGCTGAATAAAGCAAAAATATGTTAAGGGTGTTCTTGTATCGAGTGAATTTGTCAAAGTCTAGATAGCCGTATAAAGTTGATAAGAATCTCTCAAATTTACATTACAGTATTACGTACTAACTATTTGCTAGAAGCCAATATTGCAATATATTAATATATTAACACTTAGTAATGATAATAATTAGTATTATCATTCTAGTGTATATACATTATATTATTATAGTATAACATTTAATTGATAATATTAATAACTAATAGACTAATAATAGATTAAATTATATCTACTTCACCTGATAGTCTAACTACAGAGTTCACCAATCAAAGTTTACCAAGTTCGTGCATTCACTTTATTTCGTCATTAGTGATTAAAAAGCTGTGGGACCAGGCAAACGAAAAATGTTGTAGAGACTTTTATTTCTCATGAAAATGCATGGATCAAAAGATTCTCAGGTCGTTTTACTGCATCAATTCGACTTTAATACGATGTTCAGATTGATGCATTCTACAAAACAACCCTCCGGTTTCAGGTTAAAACGAGCTGAGATTTCGTTTGTCATATGAAGAACATCACCCGAGCATCGTATTAAAGCTAAACGGCTGCAGTACAGTAGGAACCAGTCGTCGTCCTCTGATGAGATCGACCTACGCATCTCTTCAGCATGCTCTTTCATACGAAATGATAGATTATCTCATCAGATTTAT